GCTGCTGGTGCTGCTGGTGCTGCTGGTGGTGCTGGTGCTGGTGGTGGTGCTGGTGCTGCTGGTGCTGCTGGTGCTGCTGGTGCTGCTGGTGCTGCTGGTGCTGCTGGTGCTGCTGGTGCTGCTGGTGGTGCTGGTGGTGCTGGTGGTGCTGGTGCTGCTGGTGCTGCTGGCGCTGCTGGTGCTGCTGGTGCTGCTGGTGCTGCTGGTGCTGCTGGTGCTGCTGGTGGTGCTGGTGCTGCTGGTGCTGCTGGAAGTGCTGGTGCTGCTGGTGCTGCTGGTGCTGCTGGTGCTGCTGGTGCTGCTGGTGCTGCTGGTGCTGCTGGTGCTGTTGGTGCTGCTGGTGCTGCTGGTGCTGCTGGTGCTGCTGGTGCTGCTGGCTCTGGCTGTCACTGTCGGAGTGTTATTGGTTCCTGTTGGTTCTCGTTGCTGTAGAGTGCTCCTGCTTGTTGTCAAAGTGAATATGCGGATGTGTGGATGCATGCTCAGGCTCACGAAGTCTTGGCGGTGGCCCAAGAAAGCTGTACCTTTGTCCGGATTTGGGGGCTTGACGGCATTACATGTACAGAGGCGAAGCTCACCCGAAATCATGGAATCGTGACCGCTTTGGAGGTGCACTTTTTCAAGCCTTAGTTGTGCGTCTTCTGCCCTGCACCTTCTTGCGACTGCAAAGAGGCAAAAGCCAGTTCTGTTGTCTTGTCTTGATGCTTTCCAATTGTCGGGTCTCCTGCTGTTGTCATGAGGTTTTGATGTAATAGGATACTCGGCATACCGAGGACCTTCCTGGACTCCAGAAATGAAACTTATTGCAACCTTGTCTTGACATTGGCTACGTGCGTCTAGGTTCTGTTGACATAGCTGCACATGCTGCGCACATGCATGTAGCATGTCTGGCCTTGAAAAGGTCCCCAGGACGGAAGGGTGCCTGGAGCAGCTTCTTCAACTCATCTACTGCTGGTCCAGCTGATGACGTCACTCGCGCCAAGAAGTGGCTGAGATTGCTGTCTCCGGGCATCTTGAAGAGGGGCGTGGCGACTGACAAAGGGTTGTAGCCATCAGCCTGGATGAACGAGAGGAATTGGCGCACGTTGAAATCCCGAACGCGAGGCTCGAAGAAGACGTCAACTCGTCTGTTCTGATTCACATCACGGTAGTTACCCGGCCCTTGCGAGAAGTAAGTGAGGTCGAGCTGGAAATTGTTGTAATCACGCTCCATGTCACCGTGGATGCGACTGAAGCAATGATACACCTTTGGATGGTCCCTGGCACCGTTACCAAGGTCGCCGAGGATGTGGGGCAGTCCGCCTCGTAGCAAATTGTCCCAAAAGTTGAAGTTGATGTACTGGTTGAAGATGGGGGACGCCGTTTGAGTCTCCACTTTCTTGGCCAAGGTGCCTGGGATGCTCCTTGCCTCCTCCATCTTCTTGTCGACAAACCCAGGCGTGCAAACCTTCGGGATGAACTTCTCGACAGCTTGTGTGATGTTTGAAGCATGGCCGTAGATGGAGGTGATCGTCACCTTCTGTCCTGGCGCTAGGCACTGAGAGGCGGCTGCAAGAGCACAAGGCGTCCTTGCACACTTGCACTGCTCGCCTGAAGCCAAGGCCTCTGGAGAAGTGCCTGGTGTGAAGCCGTGAGGACATCTGAGGGATGTGTCATGCTCAAAAACAACCGCAGGGTCGACCACAAACGGCAAGAGCTGGTACTCTCCATCAACAAATGCCACCACGAAATGCCCGTTTTCGACCTCCTTGACTTGTGCGATGTCCGCTGGATCGGAGCTGATGTGGAAGAATGGTCGCCGCATGTCGCCATCCTCCGTGTTGTAGACGTTTTTCCATGCCTCCATGGTTCGGCCCATTGTGACAAGGTTCTCGTGCGGAATGCCGGTGGGCTCCAACTTCATGAGACCGTCCAAGAGGCTGATGTGCAGATTCGTGTCGCCCAAGTTGGTGAAGGACACCTTTCTCACCAGTGCCGGAAACTCCTCGTTCGGGACCGTGAAGTACAGAACCTCCGTTTTCAGGCCGACATCTTTGTTAATTTCGCGGATTTCCATCTCGTTCATGCCGATCAACATGTCCCTCGTCCCCTCTCCTTCATTAAAGAAAGGCTGGTATGAACGTGCAGGTAGGCCAGGCCGCTGCAAATTCATCAATGTCCGGAAACCCTGTAGGGCAGTGGTGCGATACGCTGCTTCTGCTGACTCAAACCTCATGATTGGTCCGTCCTTGTTCAAGATACCAAAACATGAGATCCCTTGCCCGCGGTTAACATAGAACGTCCACATCGGCAAGCCCCAGAAGCCACCGACCCCCGGCAGGAATGAACTCATCGGCTTGGTCTTGTCGAAGCCCCGCAGGACGAAGCGCCCGAGGGCGTCGAAGTCATCGGAGATGCTGGCCATGGCCAAGTTGGAAGAGCCAGCTAGCGGCAAACACTTCACACCGACTGCCTGTACTCCTTTGAGACTGATACCTGCGAATGGCGGGACTTCCTGTAAAAAAGGAGCTGGTGGCGCATGAACTTCTTCTTGGCCGGTGCTCATCTAGACCTGTGATGACCGGGGCGAAAGCTCCAGCATGGGAGCGGGCACATTCTCCCAACAGCTGGTTTTTCAGCTGGTGCAGTGTTTGCGGCATGAACTTTTTCACAGAGACGACCATCCGACGCGGGTTCGGTGTTGCTGAATTCCCGCAGTTTGGCCTTTGAAAGGCTTTGGGAACGAAGTGTTACTTCAAAACTTCAGTTGTCAGTCCCGAAATCCCGCAAGCGTCGACAACACCAAACCGGTGTGCCGGGGTGCCTGCACGCGTTCCAGAAGTTGCTATATGCTTGCAATATCTAGCACTGTGCCAAGCAGCGGTGGCATGCTGCATGCCGGCCCCGAGTGGTCCCGCTGCTCTGGACTCTGGCCCAGTTTGGGGGCGACAGCCTAGTCGTGGCAGCCCAATGGGAAGAGGGGGCTCGGCGTTGTTAGCGCCGGGCAAACGCAGCGAGTACAAACAGGCAACGAAAATCCGTCAGCAGCAACCAAAGCACAGCACATTGGCCAGGCGTCCGCCTGCTCGCACCCTTCGCCCGCAGCTGGCCTGTAGATTCCCACCAGAAGTGGGAGGACAGCTGCCCATACCCGATGTGCACAAACGGCACGAGTGCGGGGGCGACGGCGTGCAGCTTGTGCAGCGTGTGTGCAGCGCGAACTGGCGCGGCCGGGTCGCTTCGTCAAAAGTTTCGGCGAACATCTGCGCAAGGCTGCGGGACACGAGATGCTGGAAAGTGTCTTTGCCGCGGACGCCACACCGCCGGGTTTGCGCAGCGCGGTGAGGGGCATCGTCGAGCAGCAGTTGTTCGTGGCGCCCGACAACCCAGCGACGGAGGTGACATGGTGAAGGATCACCGCATACATCAAATCAAGAACACTGTCACCGCTCAAAGTCTCGGGCGACAGAGCCATCTCCATGGCGACAGTGTCGTGTAGTCCTCCATATCAACCTGGTCTATCTCAACATCTCCGCCCGGGAGATACATCTGAGGGAGGTCCTCAGGAGCCTCGTGAGCACCACCAACCTTAAAAGGGTGACGGTGGCGCATCGCCGCCATCAGCAGGCAAGCTGGGCTCGTACTCAGCGCCCCCTCATACTCAAGGTCCCACTGTCAGGCGCCGCGCCTGCTCCTGAAAAACCGCAAAATCTTGTGCCAACATGCGGGCGACAAGGCGATTCAAGACGTGGCCGACAACGAGCGCCCGGAGATGCCCGGAGCCGGGATGCGGCCATTGCGCGGTTTCCGCCGCGCCCGATTCATTGGCCAAACGCTCGGCTGCCCGATGCAGCAGCATGCATTCCTCCGGCTCACGTAACAGCACGCGCAACTGCTTGTTGACTCCTGAAGGCCCTGGTGCCGATGGCACGGCAGGCTCCCCACACGAATCCCAGGCGGTCGCAGAGAACATCGCCAGCCGAGAAGGCTTTGGAATATCTGCTGCGAGATGACTCCGGCTCCTGCTGCGACCGCTTCTGGCAGCTCCACCACAGGAGCCTCGAAAAAAAGAAGGAGCAAGCCAACAAGGCGACATCTGGCGGGGCACGCCCGCCAAACGACTGCCGAGCAGCTTCATCGACACTGTCGGCATCGAATGCGCGCTGTGGCCGCACCTGTACTGGTGTGTGGACATGACACGCAGACTGCCAGGACGTCACCGAGAACAGCAAGGAAGACCTGGATGCAGGCGAGCAAAAGTCGTCGCGACAAAGCGCCAAGGCAAACATGCTAGCGAAAGTTCATTCCGCCGTGATCGGATACAACTCGCACACTCATCGGACAGGTTTGTGGTTCGGACTGACTGGAGCCCCGTGGCTGAGGACCCCGAAGAAGGAGCCACGTTGGCGGAGTTGAAGACCTCCTTTTTTGGTCCTTTTGATCGCGAGGCGGAGAGTCTCGAGGAGTACAGTACGAGGTGCGACTCCAGCAAAGAGTGGAGAAGGCCCGTCTTGACTGCAGGGACGAGGCCATTTCCTTAGCCGAAAGCTGTCTTGGAGAAGCGCAGTTCCAGACAGCTTACAAGCGGTTCAGCAATACGGAAATGACCGTGGGTCACGGTCAGAGAGCAACCACTACAAGCATGATGGTTCACTGCCTCACACCACCAACAAAACCGCCAGGACCCATCAATGCAAAGACATGCGTCAGTGGTATGCACAAGCTTGTTCATTCAGCCACACTAGAAAAGGGAGAAACTCATATCTCACAAGCTTCGGCTGCGATGCACGCATCAGCAACGAAGTCAATGTTGGTTTTGATGTCACGGGCCGTGTTGACATCTTCATCTGTTGAGAACAACACATGCAAAGATAGTGCATGCCGGGACCGGTTGGCCCACCTTTGTCGCAAGGATATTGTGCGCAGGGCAGTCAACCACAGCATGCGCAAAAGAGTACAGGCACAGAATCGGCAGGGACTGTTTGTCCATGCAATGCTCGGTACACGATGTCTGGCTGCGCGGCCATCAGCAAATGGGTGATGGCCGCAACTTGCCAACACCCAGCATCGTGCCCGATACGCTGTGATAGAGTACACGACATTGTGCAAACGAGGCCTGGGCTGCCAAGTGGCATACTGCTGGAAAGAACTGCATTCTCGGAGCAATGAAGCAGACCGGCCGTCAGCTCGGGATGACAAAGAGACTTTAACCATGCGGAGCCAGGACGGTAGGAAGCTGCTGGGCATCCCGAAAAGATGCCTGAGTCTTGCGGGTGCGGGACTCCGGCGCGACACAGTTCATCCAAGACGAAGTTGACCCACGAGAACGGCTGTTGCAACGCATATTCGGCAAACTGCGCAGTAAAGCAATAAGCAGACTGCAGTGCCATTGGTGGGTCGACAGCAGTGCCATTGGTGAGTCGTGTTAAGACCTTGACAACCGAGTGTTTACGGTGAACAGGTGCGTGGCGTCTGGCCCGACAGAGGGGGCACTCGGAGGGCACGGCAGCCCCAAAGATAGCTCGTGTGCGGGGAACAGTAATTTCGTGATGGTGGCGCCGTACACGACCAGGTCGAGCCGTCTGCGGTCATCGGCAGGCACTTCGGGCACGGTAGTGTGCACGAGCCATTGTTGAGGGATGGCTTGCCCATCGGATCCGACCGCCTCGCGGGCTACACGCACCCAGGCCCGCTCGACGATCTTCGCTCGGCGAGCCAGCAACCCTGTGCGCGAGCCGACGAGGGCGTGGTCCCCGTGCTGGTCGCCGGAAGACTGTTTTTGCTTTTAACGCACTTTTTTGCGACTGCAAGTCTCGCGTGCGGCTGTTATCTCCGCAGAGCTGGAGACACGCTAACTAGCTACGGCCCTACCGCTACGTCCTCCGGCCCGCGGCTCACACGCGCAGCGGCAAGCGGCTTGAGCCTGCCAAAAGTGCGAGCTCGAGCACGTGCTCGAGCG